TTCATTATAATTTTAATATATTACCTATAAAATACAATGATTCTTATTTCTGTTGCATTACAATTGTATTCATCATTTTAAAGTTTCAAATCTGTTTTGACTACACTGGTTTCACTGTTACTACATATTCAACATAACATATTTTCACCACTAGTGTAAAAGAAAGTCTATTACATATCTCATATATCCCATTGATATTCAGGATATTACATTTGGAACAGATTTTAATTCTACTTCTATTTCATCACCATACATTTGTTAGTGTATTTTCTCACTTTAAGTTAGTTTCCTGCCAGCATAATACACACTCCATCTGTACTCAAAATTTGTAATAATACACATAATACTCACTCATCTGTCCTCAGATTGTGTAATAGACCTGTTTCTCAAATAGGTTGTTAATTTTGCCATTACTGCATATTCAGCGAGTTTATTTTCCCATTCTTCTAAATGTGGACAGAAGTCTATAGTTTCCATGTTGCTGCGTAAATAGTTCTAGCTGCTTTCACTATGTATTTGAATAGCTCTTCTGAAATTTTTGGTAATTTGTTAGGCAGAACATCTAGTACCATGCTCTTGGCTTCTACTGGGAATTTAAACTTTAATATATTTTTGGTGTATTTCTTTCTTTTCTTTTTTGCTTTTCTACAAGTCCACTGCATACGAAAGAAGGTTCCATCTATGTCTTGACATTTCCAGCATTTTCCTTTGTCGTTTTTATGTGCTTTCTCAATGTCTTTTGGAGTTATATATCATTTGAAAAACATTTTGTCCCAATCTTCTCTTAGTGTCTGGCTGACTGTAAATGTGATATCTTTCCCCCATAGTCATTCCCACTGTTGCATAGATATCTGCTCTTTAAGGTTTTACATCCACTGAATCATACATTGTTTGTCTTCCATTTCTAGCTGGAGTAAAACCCATCATAATAAATGTTCTTGTTGTTTTATAATCAGCTGCTCAAATCCAGTCACATTTCTTAGAACTCCAGCATCAATACTCATGAATGATCTCCTTTAGTCTTGAGACTAACTGATGATATATCAGCCATTGAATGTTTACATCTTCATCTTTAATATCTTGCCAAGAGTTGATTTTCCCGTTTATCATCATGCCATGAGTTAAAAGATCATTTTTATTTATTGTATTCTTATCATACTGAGCTTCTATTGGGGGACATAAACAAAGAGTTTGAGGCTCAGTAAATTCCAGCATGTAAACCATACTCTCAAAAGTCCATCAGTAACTACGTGACTCTTATGTTATGATCTTTTTAGTCTGTGGGAACAGTGAAAATATCTGCGTGGCAAGCCCGGATAATTCACTGTTCTCCTGGCTGGAAATTGAACCCAAAAGTATGTCTGTGTTGAGGGCACGAGTAGCATCTGCTGACTTCCTAAGCAGATGAAGTCATTTGGCCGAGAGCCCGGGAAGATAGGAAGAGTGCGACGTTAGCAGGGGTCTTGTTGTAGAAAAAGAGCTGCCGGAGCTCATTAGCATAACTCATTAGCATAACTTATTTGCATATGCCACGCCCCCTGACATCACCGGAAGTGACAGAAGGCCACACCCCCTGACATCACCGGAAGTGTGTCAGAAGGCCCGGCTACTTACCCTCCTGCTTCATCCTCATTCCCAAACGGAATGAGGATCGAAGCAGAGGGCGGGGTAAAGAAGGGGCGGGGCTTCACCACGTGACCGCCCCACCCCCTAGAGGTTCTCTTCCGGAGCTCCATACCTGAGAGCTCCCCCCCGACTAGAGCCCTGAAGATAAATGAAATGAAGGGATCACTGCAAAAGCATCTTTATATGTTTGTGCATACCAACAGTATTACAGGGATCAGATGTGGAAGAAAAATCATACAGTCAAAATGGAAGCCGATGAAAATCATGCAAAACAATGCCAACGGGGGGGGGGGGACCAATCGTCAACCTTCATTAGTCAATTTCTTAATCCATCAGTAATTGTATGGGCCTTCATCAAGATCCACTGATTCTAATTTTACTATTCTTTGTCTTGGGTTTTTAATCCAGTCCACAATCCAGACCAGACCTGCTAGTTGCTAATATTAATTTAGTATTTGGGACTGCTGAACCTCCTCTCTTTTTCTCATCTTGTAATATTTTGAAGCCTATTCTTGTTTCCCCCCCCCCATTCCATATAAATTCATCTATCTGTCTTTGCCACTCTTTCAGTATTCTTTCTTCTCTGTATATGGGTAACATTTGGGGGGGGGGAGTTTAGTTTTGGCAGCACATTCATTTTAATTGTAGAGATTCTTCCCAGCCATGAGATATTTAGTTTTTTCCATCTTAATAAATCTACTTGAACTGATTTCTAAATTTTCTGATATTTATTCTTAAAAAGGTTACAGCTTTGCCCAGTGATGCGGGTAGACAATATTGACTCTGATGGACCAATGCTCTGATTCAGTATATGGCAACTTCACGTGTGTATGAAGATTACCCAGGAAGCTGTTCAGTCACTCAAGCCTGGCTTACACAGCCAGGAGGGTGAGGTGGTAAGAACATCAGGAGAGCCCTGCTGGCTCAGACCAGAAGTCCATCTAGTCCAGCATCCTGTCTCACACTAGGACTCATGGGTTTATTGCCTCTGACTAGGGGTCATTTCGTAGAAAAGGAGGTGCAGGAGCATAACTCATTACCATAACTTATTTGCATATGCCACACACCCTGACATCACCGAAAGTGTGTCAGAAGGCAACACCCAACGCTCAGGCTCCACTGGACTGTTTTGGATTGCTAGCTATTGGGTGGGGGGAGGTGTGAATCTGCCCTAACAGAGGAGGGAGAGCTTGTGCCTGAATAAAACTTGGTCTTAAAGGTGCCACTGGACTGTTTTGGGCCGGGGGGCTCTGCAACTTACCTGGCTGCTTCTTGCTCTGACTGAGGGCTGCTGGGAGCAGGGGGTGGGGCTTGTTGCATGTGCCCACCCCCTGGGCTCTTTACTGCCGGAGTTCCGCTCCTGTGCGTTCCTGCAGGAAATGACCCCTGCCTCTGACCATGGAGGTCCTCCTTAGTCCCTGTGGGTTGAAGTCACTAATCCCCTTTTATAGCTGACTATGCCTGTGACCAATGCTACATCCTCTGGCTGTGAGTTCCAAATTTTAATCATTTGTTGTGTTGTAAAGAAGTATTACCTTTTGTCCATCCTGAAACTACTGCACATCAACTTCACTGGAGGCCCTGCAGGCTGCATGTAATGGATTCCAGCTTTGAATGTTTTCCATTAAAAAAGAAAAGACAACCTGAAACCAGAAAACTAACACAGCAGGAAGAGAGGTTCGGCACCCTCCTCTTGGCTTGCTGAGCTAGTTTTCTATTTTCAGGGATTTTTTTAACATAGGGGAGCATTGCAACATGGTGATGCTCTACCTGCAGTCCCAAAGTGGCTCAGTCTCTCTGCCTATTCAGTCAGCATCCTGCAGGTGTGACCCAAGTTTTCCTCCTCTCAGAAGGAAATTTAGCAGCTAGGGGAAGAGATGCAGAAAATGCAAGAAAATAATTGCAGCCACACTCGAGAATCTCACACTCAAAATGCGCAGGGAATTGATCCCTCCAAAGCCCCCTGCCTCCAGCCCGCCAAACCCTAGGTGTCAGCCTCATTGAATTACACACAGATTAAACAGAATCCCATCTCTTGGCCCTGAAATTTCAGATAACCTCTAACCCAGTGCTGAAGTAGCAGCAAGACACCCCAGGAGGGGAAATTTCACTGAATTATTGAGTGGGATCAAAATTCTGCTGACTGGGAAATGTTCTGGAGCTGCTCGGATAATCTCTGGTGACCTTTGAAAGGCCCAGCGTCCTTGAAAAGATGCTCTGCCTTGGTTGGGACAACATCATAGGATCAGATGGGACCACGCATCACTGAACTCGGAGAACTGATTCGGTCCCCTCCTCCAAAACCAGGCTTTTAAAAAGAACTGCAATGTTTAGTTTAAAGGGCAAACGCTTCTTTATAGGATCAGAACAGCTGTGGTTGAAAACAATCAGTGGCCAATCACACCTTACCCCATCCCCAAGGGATAACGTTCCCAGGGGCAGATTAACCATTCAGCAGACTAAGCACGTGCTTAGGGCACCAGGGCCAAAGGGGGCACCACAAAGTTGGGGAAAGGGTGAAAAGGGGGGAAAAAAACCAATGAAGATTTGTAAAAAAAAAAATAATGATAAAATTAGTGCACGTTGATCATGGTGCCCCTTAGGGTTATCTTCTATTTTTTGTTGGCGAGGTGCAGTGTCATCGGCTATGACACCAAGATTGGGGGCACCAAGATTGGTCAGTGCTTAGGGCACCAGTGAGCCTTAATCCGCCCCTGAACGTTCCAAATGCTATCCATCTGGTCTCCTCAGACCCACCCATTCAAGATTTCTCTGGCTGAATTCTTCCAAAGCTTTTATCCCCTTATCACGTTTAAGTCATCCTAGAAAAAATATGTGTATTCCTTTAGTCACTATAGGAGCTGCGGTGGCTCAAGTGGTTAAGACGCTGAACTGCAGGCTGTGGAAGGTCAATAGTTCAGCAGTTCAAGACCCGAATTGCCGCGTGACGGAGTGAGCTCCCGTCTCTAGTTCCAGCTCCTGCCAAACTAGCAGTTCGAAAGCAAGAAATTGCAAGTAGATTAATAGGGACCACTTTGGTGGGAAGGTAACAGCGTTCCGTGCGCCTCGGCATCTAGTCATGCCAATATGGAAAAGAAGAAAGATTAAAACCACTGCTCTAAGGGGCTGCTTCTTGACACATCTCTTTGGTCTCTTATCACTTGCTCAGCTGGCACTTGATGGATGAATATTCTCCACTTACACAAATTTTGTTTTGAAGCTGACATGAAGGTTTGGGGTCTCCTGATGGTTCATTCCCACACGCAGGTCACCACGGGAGACCACATTCAATGAGCAACTGACAAGCTCATCTGAACCAGTCTTGTAGAGCCTAATTCATGCAGTTTCTAAGATCGTGTTCCTGTCTCCTGCAGACTGGTGCTACCCATCCCAGAAGTGTCTTAACCCAGGATGTAAAGGTAATTTGAAAGTTTGCTTTTTAAAACTTCCCCTTGGCTAATTTGCACTATCTTGGATTGGGGCTAACGAGTCTGTCCTCCAGGGGGGACACACATATACACCCCTCCCCCCCAATACTGTAATGGCTTCCGTTTAGGGGAGGACCCAAAGTGTGTGAAGAGTGACTGAGTGGAGGGAAACAATTCTGGGTAATACCAGTCTCAGGGGTCATTTCGTAGAAAAGGAGGGGCAGGGGCTCATTAGCAAAACTCATTAGCATAACTTATTTGCATGTGCCATTCCCCCTGACATCACCGGAAATGTGTCAGGAGGCAACACCCACCACTCAGGCTCCACGGGACTGTTTTGGATTGCTAGCTGGGGGGTGGGGGGTACACGTGCAGATCTGCCCTTGCTGAGGAGGGAGAGCTTGTACCGGAATAAAACTTGGTCTTAAAGGTGCCACTGGACGGTTTTGGACCGGGCTACTTTCATACAAGCATAATGGAATATAGGGTATTCGTACGCATCCCTCCCCCACTTATGGGCCAATCGGCCTGACTCCCGTGCGCAGGAGAATGGGGCCCTAGGCCGTTACAGCCAAAGCTGGGAATCAAAACCTATCCCACGGGTAATACATGGGGAGACGCTACATAGACAGCCAGCTAGCAAGGTCATAGATAAGAAGGACAAAGGAATGCAGCATCAGTTGGTACACAGGTCAAGCAGCTGCACTCTCGCCCATAAACATCATGGCAGCGTAGCTGACACCGCCAGGCAGACAAGACAATCTTGAGCTACCTGGACTGATCAGGGTTCTTGACTTTGTACCAGACAGGTTCCTATGTTTACATGAGAGTGCTGAATGTGTTGGTAGGGTGCATTCTGCAATGAGATCCAAGAGGCCCAGTTGAAATAATATTGTGAGTGGTTTGCATGCCTAAGAATATGACCCACAGTCCTTTGTAATGCACAGGGAGGTTCAAGACCAATATAAAATGGTTGCTCAGCAGGTGAGTCAATGGGCTTCCGCACTTTCTCCTTTTCCTCCTTTGTAAATTCCTCTTTCTTCGGGTGTGTGTGGGGGTCTGTTCTGCATGTGTTTTGCCCCCTCTAGTGGTCGATTCAATATAATACTGGCTTATGTCTGGCATAAAAACCTGCCGTTTAAATCTACAAGGAGATATGCCAGGCTTAAACTGCTGTAATATCGAATCGACCACTAGAGGGAGCAAAGGACATCCAGAACAGGGCCACCCACCCCGCCTGAAGAAACAGGAACTTACAGAAGAGAATGCGGAAAAGCCCAATATGGAAAAGAAGAAAGATTAAAACCACTGCTCTAAGGGGCTGCTTCTTGACACATCTCTTTGGTCTCTTATCACTTGCTCAGCTGGCACTTGATGGATGAATATTCTCCACTTACACAAATTTTGTTTTGAAGCTGACATGAAGGTTTGGGGTCTCCTGATGGTTCATTCCCACACGCAGGTCACCACGGGAGACCACATTCAATGAGCAACTGACAGGCTCATCTGAACCAGTCTTGTAGAGCCTAATTCATGCAGTTTCTAAGATCGTGTTCCTGTCTCCTGCAGACTGGTGCTACCCATCCCAGAAGTGTCTTAACCCAGGATGTAAAGGTAATTTGAAAGTTTGCTTTTTAAAACTTCCCCTTGGCTAATTTGCACTATCTTGGATTGGGGCTAACGAGTCTGTCCTCCAGGGGACAGCCAGGACTGTACACACATATACACCCCTCCCCCCTAATATTGTAATGGCTTCCGTTTAGGGGAGGACCCAAAGTGTGTGAAGAGTGACTGAGTGGAGGGAAACAATTCTGGGTAATACCAGTCTCAGGGGTCATTTCGTAGAAAAGGAGGGGCAGGGGCTCATTAGCAAAACTCATTAGCATAACTTATTTGCATGTGCCATTCCCCCTGACATCACCGGAAATGTGTCAGGAGGCAACACCCACCACTCAGGCTCCACGGGACTGTTTTGGATTGCTAGCTGGGGGGTGGGGGGTACACGTGCAGATCTGCCCTTGCTGAGGAGGGAGAGCTTGTACCGGAATAAAACTTGGTCTTAAAGGTGCCACTGGACTGTTTTGGACCGGGGGGGCGGGGGGGGGCTCTGCAACTTACCTGGCTGCTTCTTGCTCTGACTGAGGGCTGCTGGGAGCAGGGGGTGGGGCTTGTTGCATGTGCCCGCCCCCTGGGCTCTTTACTGCCAGAGCTCCGCTCCTGTGCGCTCCTGCAGGGAATGACCCCTGACCAGCCTGTGAACAGGACTTTATTTACTTCATTTATACCCCAATTTTCTTCCAAATGTGAACCCCAAAGCATTCTACATCATTCTCCTCTCCTCCATTTAATCCTCACAATGACTCTGTCAGGTGAGAGCAGATGACTGGCCCAAGGTCACCCAGCAAGCCTCTGTGGCACAGTGGGGATTTGAACACGGGTCTCCCAACTCCTAGGCCCAGTCCCTGAAATTACAGCTCAGATCCGACTACCAAGATCAGTTCCCCTAGAGAAAATGGATACTTTGGAGCAGGCCTGTAGCCCTGCTCCACAAATAGCCATGCCAGAAACCTTATTTCTGAGGAGAGACCCCCCCCTTGTAGCTGGCAGCAGACAGGGCGAGAGCACAGTGGCTTGTGCCCATGGGCTTCCCTCTCCCTCCCACTGTGGAATTCGGGGGGAGGGCATCACGGGACCTGGGAAAAGAAAAAGAAGAAGAGATGGGATTTATACCCCATGGCCCTTCACTACCCGAAGGTGTCTCAGCCCGGCTTACAAACTCCTTTCCCTTCGCCTCCCCACAACAGACACCCTGTGAGGTAGGCGGGGCTGAGAGAGCTCTGACAGAAACTGCTCTTTTTCAAGAACAGCTCTTATCAGAACTATGGCTTGGCCAAGGTCATCCAGCCAGGTGCAAGTGGAGGAGTGGGGAATCAAACCCGGTTCTCCCAGATTAGAGTCTGCGCACTTAACCACCACACCAATCTGGTTCAGAGGGCATTTAAGTGACTTTTGAGTTCCCTTCCATAGGGCAAGGAAGCTTAGAAGCTTACAAGGGCACTCGGGAGTGGGACCTTCACCTCCAACAATCCCCCTTTCTGCTAGCCCATGTTTCCCAAAGGCTCATGGGGATGCTTTTGAAAGACTCACCATGAAATAGTCCTAGGTGGTGTACAGCAGGACTGGGCTGGCAGACAGGGGGGTGCTTGGTGAAGTGCTGAAGGTGCCACCCCTGAGTGCCCTTCTAAGCTGTCTTGCCTGTGGGAGGGAGCCCAAAACGCATTTAAGTGCCCTCTGGACTGTTCCCCCCCCCATGCGCTCGCTGCCCTGTCCCTTGAAAGGAACGGCTAGAAACAAGATCAGAGCCTCCCCCTTCAAAGAGAGGCATTCAGATTAATTTAATTAACTGTAAATTAACTGCCCCCCTTAAAAATGTAAATGCCGCCCCCCCCGAGCAAAACAGTCCTGGCTACAGGCCTGCTTTGGAGGGGTGACTCTATGGCATCGTACCCCACTGAAGTCCCTGTCCTCCTCAGGCTCCACCCCCAAATCTCCAGGAATTTCCCACCTTGGAACTGGCAACCCTATGTCCCCTGTGTCCTGCCGGTGGCCGGGGGGGGGGGCCTGCCAGCCCCAGCGCAAACCCTGTTTGGGCAGCCCACTTGAAACGGTGGGTCCAAACTGTAGTTCAGAGGTGGCCTTTCTTTGCTCCGGTGCATGTCCAGCATGCAATCATGTTGAGGGGGGGGGGAACGGCTCTGGCGAGGGGGGGAGAAAAATGCTACAGTCAGGCTGGGTCACTCTCTACACAGTGTGGCTTGCGAGGAGCCAGTGTCGTGCCTGCCCCAGCCCTGGGTTTTGTCCGAGTTAAATTTTGTCCGATTTCAGGTTTTTTGCCTTTGCTGACATGTCCCCCCCCCCTCCCCGAACAGAGCCCCGCAGGTGGGTGGATTTGTACCCAGGCTGCGGAGGGAAGAAGCAGTCCCCCATCAACATTGTCACCAACAAAGTGGAAATCGACTGGAACCTCCAGCCATTTGAGTTCGTCAGCTACCAAGACAAGCAGCCAACGAACTGGAACATAACCAACACCGGCCATTCAGGTGAGCAGAATTTCTGCACCGCCATTGATATATTAACGGTCTGATGTTACGTTTTATGTATTTTTATTGTGATACGTATCTTCTTTTATTGGTTTTTATGTAAGCTGCCCTGAGCCTGCTTCGGCGGGGAGGGTGGGGGGTAAAAGTTGAAACAATAAATAAATAAATAAATAATAAGCCAGCCTCCTGGGTCGAGGGGGATGTGGGAATGAACCATCAGCTCTGGGTCCACACGTCACCTTGGCCTTCAATTCAGCAGCAAGCAGCTTTCTTAAAACAACTGGTTTTTTAAAGTTTGGGACAACTTCATTTTGGGAAAAATCAGGGCTGCTTCCCAGGGTGGCCTGCAGGGGTCCCTCCTCTCCCCAAGCCCCGCCCTCCCCAGGCTCTACCCCCAGATCGCCAGGAATTTCCCAAACTAGAGCTGCTAGCCCTCCCATGAACATTCGCAGAGGTGCTTCCCAGCAGCATCGAAAAGAGCCTTTCCTTGTGTCCAGCGTCAGAGGAAGGCCGCGTCCTCCTTTCCTTCAGGTGTTTTCTTAGGGGAGGGGCTTGAGTGTACAGTCAAAACTGCCCTCCTTGCATGGATTTCCCATTCCCCCCACAGCTTGGGGTTAGAGGTGGTCTGGGGAGGGGAAACTAATGAAGGAAAGTGTTCAACAGCCCCCCTCCCCTCTCATTGCTCAATTTTTTAAAAAGAAGAGATTGGATTTATACCCCACCCTTCACTCGGAGTCTCAGAGCGGTTTACAAACTCCTTTCCCCTCCCCGCCCCGCAACAGACACCCTGTGAGGTGGGTGGGGCTGAGAGAGCTCTGACAGAAACTGCCCTTAAGAGAACAGCTCTGAAAGAACTTATGACTGACCCAGGGTCATCCAGCAGGTGCAAGTGGAGGAGTAGGGAATCAAACCCAGTTCTCCCAGATTAGAGTCCACGCACTTAACCACTACACCAAACTGGCTCTCCACCAAACTGGCAAAAACACCAAAACCCAGCCTTCTGAAGGGAAGCGGTCACAGAACTTCGGGGGAGGCAATTCTACATCACAGACCTATCAGTCCCATTTTCTATATCACCCTGCCTTCAAGGACATCAGAGGCAGCCCCTTCCTTGACCATTGTCTCTTCACAACAATCCAGTGAGGCAGGTTAGGCTGAGAGAAAGTAAAGTCACCCCGCAAGCTGCATGTGAATTTGAACTCCTATCTTCCCTGCTCCTTGTAGCAGCCAGAGATGGAGAGTCTCAGACCCTCTGTGTGCCAAGCAGAAGGAGGAGGAGGAGGAGGAGGAGTCTCAGAGCGGCTTACAAACTCCTTCCCCCCCCCAACAAAAGACACCCTGTGAAGTAGGTGGGGCTGAGAGAGCTCTTCAGAGAACTGACCTTGAGAGAACAGCTCTGAAAGAACTTGTAACTGACCCAAGGTCACACCAGCAGCTGCATGTGGAGGAGTAGAGAATCAAACCTGGTTCTCCCAGATTAGAGTCCACGCTCTTAACCACTACACCAAACAGAGAAAGGTTAAAAAAAGCGCACACACCCTTCCCAATTAAACCTCCCTCCTCTGGTCTGGCTGCTGTTTCATGTTAGATGACACAGTGAGAGGTGTGATGGTGACCAACCATTGCATGTCCCTTGGCCCTCCAACAGAAATCGGCTGATAGATCCAGGTGGTCAGCCATATTGGTCTGAAGTAGGGATGGGCATGAACCAAGGAAATGTGGGCCGTGGGCAGCAGAAAGCAGGGTTGTTGTTTTTTAAAAAAAAATTGTTGCCATGGTGAAAGGACACAAACTGACAGCTAAAGGTGAAAGTATTTGATTCGAACACTATTCAAACAAATGGGACGCAGAATAGAGAATAAAATAAAGTATCTAGGAAACAGGATAGAGGCTTTGGAGAAGAGAATGAATCAGAGTCGTGGGAAATTTCAACATGAAATGAAAGATGATGAGAAAATTTGAAGTTAAGGAAATTAGTGATAAAGTGGCTGCTGTAGAAAACAGAATAGATGAGACTGACAAAGAACTCGAGAGGCGTGTGGGTTTATTAGTTCTTATGGATTTGAGAGGCAAGGACTAGTGTCTGAAATGGAGAGCTATTCAAGAAGAAATTGATGAAGAGTTCAGAGAGAGGATTATATAACATTTGGACAATTTTATGGATTTGAGAGAAAAGGACTAGTGTCTGAAACTGAGAGCTATCCAAGAAGAAACCAATGAAGACTTCAGAGAGAAGATTATATCACTTTTGGCCAATTTTCTGCAAAGGGAAGAGGAAGATACGGAATTTTCACAAGATTCTAAAGACCAAGATGCAGCTGAAACCTGAGTCTTTTTGGTTAGATTTTACGGACAATGAGTTGGAAAGAAGTTACGGACTTAAGTGGAAACAAAAAGAGAGAGCGTTCTTGTTTTTATATATAAGCAAGGGAAATTTTGTAATGATGAGTCATGAACTTTTGTTTGTGAGCTGGTTCATGCCCATCCCTAGTCTGAAGCAGTAGAACAAATTGAGAGTCCAGTGGGGGCACCTTTAAGACCAACAAAGGTTTATTCGAGGCGTCAGCTTTCGTGTGCAAGGCACCCTTTTTCGAATACACTGGAATGGTACGTAAGGTTCAAACTTATAGACAGGGCTGAACAGCAAATCAACATGTAACATGATAAAGATGTGCAAAGACAAACTAAATAACAAGCCAAGGTTATAAGGTCAACAGTTGTAACGCAATAAATATGTCAAAATAGCAGATAAATGTGTAAGAGGTATCTTTTCTAACTGTGGGAAGTAAACTGTTACTCTCCATTCTCTCCTCTCAGGTGTGGAGGTCACTTAACAGCATTTTTCTTTTCTTTTTTGAGGTGGATGCAGCAAAACAGCCCAATATTCCTCGCATTACATTCAGTATTCTAATATACTATTCTGAAAAAGAAATACACTAAAATACAGAGGATCTATAGTCCTTCTTGTTGAGACTACATATGTGAGGACTGAATGAGTCAGCACATGTAATCAGCAGAATTCCTTTACTCTTTTTTTGCCTCTGTCAGTCCAAGTGAACCTGGATAGCTCTGCCAAGATCACAGCAGGGAGCCTCGGGGGTCAGTACAAGGCGGTCCAGCTTCACTTCCACTGGGGCCGGGGGACCAACAAAAGCTATGACATGGAGCCCGGATCGGAGCACACCATTGACGGAGAGCGATATGCCATGGAGGTAAGGGAACCGGGGATCCAAAGTGAGGCACAGAACTCTCAACGTGCGGGCTCTCACTTCACGTCGCTACGGCTGCCGGCTCCCAGTTGGGAAATGCCTAAAGCTTTTGGGGGTGGGGCCTGAGGAAGGCGGGTTTGGGGAGGGGAGGGGCTTCAATGGGATATAATGCCGTAGAGTCCACCTTCCAAAGTGGGCCAAGGTGAACTGATCTCTGTCGCCTAGAGATCGGGTGTAATCCCAGGAGATCTCCACCCACCACCCGGAGGTTATACCTACAAAAACGGAGGGTCGCAGTGTTAGGAAGATATGCAAAAGTATACAGCACTATGTATAACAGATGTATGTTCAAGGTAGAGCAATTTCGTGCTTTTTCTTTGTTTTCTTTTCCTATACTGTTATATAAATATTGGTATCAAATGTCATCAAAAACAGGTTTCACCCAAACAAAACATCAAAGTGCAGGTTTACATTCGGTTCAGATATTCAGACAGCACCTTGTCAGTATCGCAGTCACTAGTCCCAGGGGACTCTAGTAATTGACCCATTTCGAATACAATCTTTTTCAAGGACTGTGATGTATATAAAGGACATAAGGTGCAATAATTTTCCCTTCGTGAGCACAAAGACTCTTAAGATAGCAGCATATTTTCCAGGGTCCCATCGGCACTGAAATAAACAAAAATATTAATACATCAATAGAATTTCATTCATCCTTATTTATAATTATTAAAATTATTAAAAGAGCTCCCTTACCCCTTGCGGCAGACATAATAACCTATCTAGGATAGCATATCTCTCAAGTTGTATCAGGCAGCTGCAAATTTGGGGTCTTGCTCAGTCTATTTCTTTTGTTCCAAGCCTCATAATCAGGAGCAGCTGTGTCAAAAACACCTTTTCTTAAAGTGCCCGTGTGCTTTATCATCCTTATTTCCAATACACAATTCATGGAATAAACATTCTTTTTGGGCTCCATCCATATTAGGATCCTGCAGCTTAGAGCAGTCATAATCCTTCCGAAGATGTTTTAAAGTGCCCATGCTTATTATTCAGCAATGCAGACAATGATACCAGTACAGTTTAACCAAAAAAACACATTCCTTTGGGGCTTCCGCCTCATTAAAATCCTGCAATTTAGAGCAATCATAACACTTCTAACAAAGTTAAAGTATCCATGCTTATTTTATCACAGTATCACAATACAAAAAGAGCGACGTGAGAGCCCACCACTAATCCCAAGGAAGGACACATGGACATACGAAAAATACCAAAAATACAAAAACAAAAAACCCCAACCCCAATCCAACAAAACCAAACACCAACTAGGGCCAGTCCTGCTGAGCTTCCGAGATCTGATGAGATCGAGCTAGCCACATCCAGGTCAGGATGAGGCTACGTTAAACAAAAAACACAAAATTATTATTCTTTCAATTTGTATCCCACCTTGCCGGGCGAATTGGCTCAAGGTGGCGTAAAGGTAAAGGTTCCCTTGCTTGAAAGCCAGTCGAATCCGACTCTAGGGTTGCGGTGCTCATCTCTGCTTCAAAGCCGAAGAGCCAGCGCTGTCCGAAGACGTTTCCGTGGTCATGTGGCTGGCATGACTAAACACCAAGGCGCACGGAACGCTGTTACCTTCCCACCGAAGTGGTACCTATTTATCTACTTGCAATTTCTTGCTTTAGAACTGCTAGGTTGGCAGGAGCTGGAACTAGAGACGGGAGCTCACTCCGTCATGCGGCACACTCGGGTCTCGAACTGCTGAACTACTGATCTTCCACAGCGTCTTAACCACTTGAGCCACTGCAGCTCCCAAGGCAGCATACAGACATTAAATTGCAGTAAAACAATAAATACAATAAAATACACTTAACAACCTACTAAAAGGACAGTACAGATGATGGCGGCATTCAGTATACAATCCCATAGTGGAAAGCAGTATCCAACGGTGTAACACAGGGCCGTGAGATGTTCCGGTGACTCATTCAACAGTGGCGGCTCCTAATCAAAAGCCTGGTGGAAGAGCTCCGTTTTACAGGCCCTGCAGAACTGTAAAAGGTTCTGCAGGGCCCTGATGTAATCTGGGAGCTCATTCCACCAGTGTGGAGCCACCACTGAAAAGGCCCTGGCTCTAGTAACGGCCAACCTGGCATCTCTTGGGCCAGGGAGAGTCAGGCGATTCTGTTTCCCTGACCTCAGTGCTCTCTGGGGCACATATGGGGAAAGGCGGTCCCTCAAGTAGACAGGCCCCTGACCATATAGGGCTTTAAAGATCAAAACCAGCACCTTGAAACAAATCCGGTAAGCTACTGGCAGCCAGTGCAATGCCTTCCAACACAGGCTGGGTGTGGTCTCGTATAGAGAGACCCATCAGCAGCCTGGCTGCCGCATTTTGCACTAGCTGCAAAACTGAGGAACTGATCCTTTTTTCTTCCCCCTGCCCTTTCTTCTTCCGTTACAGCTTCACATCGTCCACATAAAGGAGGAATACCCAAATATAACAGAAGCCATCCCAAAGAACGGAGTGGCAGTGCTGGGATTCTTTGTAGAGGTAAGGGTGGAAATGTGGTTCACCTCGAACCACTTGTTTCAAAGCAGACAAAGTGTTAGGAATTGACCTGAGCTCTGGAACTCTGAGGTGCCTCAACGTCGCACAGCACTGCAGATATCCTGGGGGTGGTGGTGGGGGGTTCATCATCTGTAGCATTCATAGCTCTCATCACTTCAGAAGCTGATGTCAGATTCCCCTTGAAATACTCTTCAGGGTCCGTGAGGCGACTTGGTAGGAAGTAGACAGTACGCAGTCACTTAGGTCCGGCTTCACATCCCCACTCTGTGAACCACAAAAGATCATTGGGTGACAGTTGGCCAGTCACCTCTCCCATTCAGAAAAACCTTCCTCGCAGGGTTGTTGTGAGATGAAAATGGAGGAATGACGCAGACCCCCCCCCCCACCTTGGAGGAAAGGTGGAATCAAAATGTAACAAATAAAATTTCACAAGTTATTTCGCAGCAGCTTGATTGTTATTAGCACAATATTAGAAGAGAAGAAGAGATTGGATTTATACCCTGCCCTTCACTACCCGAAGGTGTCTCAGAGCGGCTTACAAACTCCTTTCCCTTCCCCTCCCCACAAGAGACACCCTGTGAGGTAGGCAGGGCTGAGAGAGCTCTTGACAGAAACTGCTCTTCTTCAAGAACAGCTCTTATCAGAACTACAGCTTGCCCAAGGTCATCCAGCCAGGTGCAAGTGGAGGCGTGGGGAATCAAACTCGGGTCTCCCAGATTAGAGTCCGTGCACTCAACCACTACACCAAACTGGCTCCCAAACTGGCATTTAGTTCTACAGCAAATAAACCATAAAGGATGGTTTATAATTCTCATGAATAAGAAAAGCTATTCTCAAGAAGCAGTTAGGAAAAAGTGGCAATCATTCAGTCAGGAATGGAAGTGTCAAGGAGGCAGTTGTGTTGTGTATTTTTCGATTTTTAGATGCATTGCTAATCATTATGACCTTTTCCCTTTCCTTTGCTATTGTATAAACCGATTTTACAAACATTCCAGTAGTTAAGCTTTCTAGTGGCTGGGGATGAGACTGACTCCTTTGATTGGCCCATATTTCCTTACCCCATCCATTGATCAAGAGATGCAGACTAGATCAGCAGAACAAAGTTCGAGTCCAGCGGGGCACCTTTAAGACCAACAAGGTTTTCTTCAAGGTAGGAGCTTTCGTGTGCAGCAGCAGCAGCAGCAGCAGCAGCAGCAGCAGCAGCAGCAGCAGCAGCAGCAGCAGCAGAAGAAGAAGAAGAAGAAGAAGAAGAAGAAGAAGAAGAAGAAGAAGAAGAAGAAGAGATGGGATTTATACCCTGCCCTTCACTCGGAGTCTCAGAGCGGCTTACAAACTCCTTTCCCTTCCCCTCCCCACCACAGACACCCTGTGAGGCAGGTGGGGCTGAGAGAGCTCTGACAGAAACTGCTCTTTTTCAATAACAGCTGTGCCAGAACTATGGCTTGCCCGAGGTCACACCAGCCAGGTGCAAGTGGAGGAGGGGGGAATCAAACCCGGGTCTCCCAGAGTCCACGCACTTAACCACTACACACTTCTTCAGATACATTGAAATGGAAGTTACCAGTCCAGACATATAGGTAGAGAGTGAGCAGAAAATTAGCTCGTAACATAATGAAGATGTTTAACAGATGCAAGGACCAAGCTTGATTTATATGATCACCACAGAACATATAATGCCAACTAACCAGAGCCCTAGAAGGCCACTTGGATCAGAGGTTTACTAAGTATGAATTGGCTAAATATTTTTTTTCTCATTAACATTTTATTGGTAGGATTAAAACAATAAAATGAATATAACAATAAAAATATATATAAAGGTTAACTTGATGAGGCCTGGTTATTTTATTGATGTTATTTACGATTTGTATTTTATGTTCTTTGAGTTTGATTCTAAAGGCCTTCTGGCTATAGGCAATAAATGCTATTTGTACCTTTGTACGCATGGATTGGGCTAGATGGCATCCACCATGACTGGCTCAACTTCATATGGGAGCGGGGAAGAAAGATGCAGTGGATCGATTGATTTACTAATTTGTTTTTGTCTTCTGCAGATTGGCGAGGAGAACAAGAATTATATTCCTTTAATTTCAAAGTTAAAAGCGGTTCCCTCCCCGGGTAAGGAGCTGAACAAATGGGAAGTTACTCTGTTAAAAAACAAATGCTGCCTGTCTTATACCCATCCGTAACCAAGGGAGAGGGCTGAGAGCTGTCAAGAAGGGAGGGAAGGTCACGGATGATGCAAAGTTGTTCAGGGTGGTGAAAACCAGTGAGGATTGTGAGGCACTCCAAAGGGATCTGTCAAGGATGGGCAAGTGGGCGTCAACATGGCAAATGGGGTTCAATGTGGCCAAGTGCAAGGTGATGCACATTGGAGCCAAAAATCCTAAATATAAATACACGTTGATGGGGTCTGAACTGGCAGAGACTGATCAAGAGAGAGATCTTGGAGTTGTAGTAGATAACTCACTGAAAATGTCGAGACACTGTGTGACTGCAATAAAAAAGGCCAATGCTATGCTGGGGATTATTGAAAACAGATCAGCCAATATCATAATTCCCCTACATAAATCAATGGTGCAACCTCATTTGGAATACTATGTGCAGTTCTGGTCACCCCACCTTAAAAAGGATATTATAGCTTTGGAAAAAGTGCAGAAAAGGGCAACTCGAATGATAAAAGGGTTGGAACACTTTCCCTATGAGGAAAGGTTAAGGCGCTTAGGGCTCTTTAGCTTGGAGAAATGATGACTGACGGGTGACATGATTGAGGTTTATAAGATCATGCATGGGAAAGAGCAGGTAGAGAAAGAGGTACTTTTCTCCCCTTCTCACAATACAAGAACTTGTGGGCACTCCATGAAATTGCTGAGCGGTCGGGTTAGAACAGATAAAAGGAAGTACTAAAAAACGTCTCTTATGTTCTTATGTTCATCTTGGTTGCCCTCCTCTGCACTTTTTCCAGCTCTGCATTTGTCTGGTTGGAGATGCGCTGACCAGAACTGTTCACTGTATGAGGCCTTACCACTGATGAGGCCTTACCACTGATCTGTACAGGAGCATTACAATATCGGCTGCTTTATTCTCAATCCCTTTCCTAATAATCCCTAACATAGAGTTTGACATGGGTGGTTTGCTTGTTTTCCCCCACGTGTGCCATCAGATAGGCTTGCCAGCTCTGAGTTGGGAATACCTTGGAGATTTTTGGGGTGGAGCCTGAGTGGTGGAGCAGAGGTCCATCAAGGGCTATTAGCCACAAGGTATAGATAGGGACTCTGGGGCAAGTGATGCTCTGTCATCTTGGTGCTTGGGGGGGTCAACAGTGGGAGGGCTTCTAATGTCCTGGCCCCACTGGTGGACCTCCTGATGGCACTGGTATTTCTGGCCACTGTGTGACACAGAGTGTTGGAAGTGTTGGACTGGATGGGCCTTTGGCCTGATCCAACATTGGCGTCTCTTATGTTCTTATGTTCTTATGTACTGTCATTATCAGAAGCCGGAAGGATGGGGAAACCAGGACCACGGTTCCTATCTGGTGATAAGGGTACGGGGGGGCAGTCTTCTATTCAGGCCATCTTTATTCGTTTTTTAAAAATTGACTTTCTTTATTCATAACACAGTGTAAGAGGAGTTGGAGCTGGTATTTATACCTCGCTTTTCTCTTCCTTAAGGAGTCTCACTGCAGCTTACAATCTCCTTCCCTTCCTCTCCCCACCACAGGCACCTTAAGAGGTGGGTGGAGCCCTGCATGTGGGTTTCTTTCCTGGATGTGGCTCGGCCTCCTGCAGCAGGCATTTTGTCCTTCACTCCACCTCCTGGGGCAGCCATTTTGTCCTTCGTTCCACCTCCTGCGGCAGCCATTTTGTCCTTCGCTCCACCTCCTGGGGCAGCCATTTTGTCCTTCGCTCCACCTCTCGGGGCAGCCATTTTGTAGTTGTGCCCACCACCCTTTATCAGAATTCCAAAGGTGCCTACAGGATTGAAAAGACTGGGACTCGCAGCTTATCCCAACACCTGTTATCTCCTTTAACTGCAGATGCGAAGGTCAGGACCTGAAGCTCTCTGAGTGCAAAGTAGGTGCCCTAGCAAGGCCCATCTGGTGCCCCTCCCCATTCAGCCGTGGCCTTTCCCCATAAGGGAGGGAGCCTCATAGGAACACTCAAAGTTGCTGAGTCAGAGGACTGCTACCCCCACCATCCCTCCCAGCAATGTTTTGTTTTATTTCTTTGGTTTACTTAGATATTTATATCTTACTTTTCTTCCTGACGGGGGTCCCAAAGCAACGGACGTTATAGTTTTCATCGTCGTTCACATAATTTATTGTCCGCCATTCTCACTGACAATCAAGGCAGATGGCGAAGATTTCAACAGCAAAGATTTCTAACACTCTAAACAAGGTCGGGGGGGGGGCTAGGCTTGAAGAATCAGGGAATAGTACAAACAAGCAAAAAAACCAAACAAGCAAGTACCGTCTAAGGCAACAAGACTGTCTAAAGTTTGACATACCATCCTGAAGCGAGGGCTGCACATCTATAGGACATCGTAGAAATAATGGCAGAGGCAATATGTACAATAAGTATTGCAACCTATAATACTATCCCGTATGGAAGCCATCCTCCCATGCTGATCCATTGTACTGTCGCTCTGATCCCTTTATGCGAACACCCTCCTAAACGTGTCTGTTTTGCACATTCAGCGAAATGATAAAAGCTGGGGGGGAGGCATTCACGATAGCCTCAGGCAGGCCATTTCATTCAGGGCCTGATAGTAGCCAGGCCAGGGCACTCTGTACCAACTGGAGTTTCAGAGTTGACTTCAAGGGCAGACCCATTCAGACTGTATTACAGTAGTCTAGCCCTGAGATAACCGTAGCATCCAGGTGGCCAGATCAGCCGAGTCAAGGTAGGCAGTCATCTTCTGGGCTACATGAAGGTGACAGAATGCTTTTTTTCTTTTGCCGCTGCATTAACTTGCTTCTCCAGGATCCGGGACAACCCTTCGGCTCTTAACTGAGTCAGCAAGTGTCAGCTGAACCCCATAAAAAGGGGGGAACACATTGTCCTTCAAGACCTCAGCTGCCAGCATGACCTCTGTCTTGCCAAGATTCCGTTTCAGCTTCTTTGTCCTTAGCCATTTAACCCCAGCAGTCAGGCACTGGTTCAGGATCTCCACAGCACCACCAAGAAATGTAGATGACGCCCAACTCCCAAACCACAAACGATTTCTCCTAAGGACTTTATATAGAGATTCAATAGCATTGGTGGGTAGAAACGAGCATTGTGGAACCCCACAAGGCAGGTCCTACACCAAAGACAGCTGGTTGTCAGGGTCCTTAGTCAGGTCACACAACACCAAGCTTCATAAGAAGATAAGTGTTTATTGATGATCCCAGTACTAAAGTACACGTATACAGCTTGTGCCAGAAATAGCCTACAATATAATGGCCTCTGACTTATAGCGAAATCAAACGTCCTCCCCCCATGAGCTGAAGCCAATTATAGTTCGCGCGCGCGGGCTGAAGCAGCAGGCAAACGGCAAAGCGCAAAACCCGTTAGCTTTCCCAGCCGAGTTAATTGCAGCTGGGAAAAACAACAAGGTCAAGCCAGAGATAGTGCACAGAAGCTGGGCAGGGAAGAGCTAAGAACGAAGAGGAGGTATCCCCCTCCACATTCCAGATCTATGACAGGGCTACCTGACACTGGTCCCTGACAGCAACCCTCTGAATTCTGCCAGTAAGGAACGATTTGAACTCATTCAGAGCACAGGCTTAATTCCTACTTCTGCTGCCCACCATCTCTACGGGAGGCACGGCCCGCCATATCAAAGGCTGATGAGAAGCCCAGTAAGAGGAACAGAGAGGCTTAGACTTTGTGTACATTTCGACAGAATTCATCCCAGAGCCCGGCCTGAAGCCAGACTGAAAATGGCCCTGGTGGGGTTTCCAGCCTACTGCTTTGGAGGCAGGAAGCAACGTCACGTGACACTGTGATGTCACTTCTGGCTGGTACCCTGAAGTGTTGCCATGATGCTCTAGGAATTTGTTCAACTCTAAGGTTTTTAACCATAGACACGTGTGCATTCCCAGAGTGCCATGATATGACATCTGCTTCCTCTTTCAGGTGACCTTGGGCCTGTTGCTGCCTCTCAGCCTAAGCTACCCTCACAAGGTGGTGGCTGTGAGGATTCAGTAGACGAGGGGGGGACTGATGTGAAAAGCCACTTTGGGTCCCCGGCCAGGGAGGATAGTGGGTTATAAAAAAAAAAAAATGGAACTTCCAGGTTCAGGAGCAGTGTACTTCGGAACTCTGGTTGATGGGTGGGGATGACAACAGTGGGAGGGAATGGCTTCTGGCCCTCTTTTTGAAAATTATTCTTATTCTTGTTCTTGTTCAGTGGACTGATATCCCGTCCACCTCACAAGTGGGCTCAAGGACGGTCACAACAGTTACAATACAAACACAGTAGTACATCCAAATACAAGTACAAATTCATACAAAGTTAAAGTTCCTAAAAACAGCACCAAATGGCAGAAAATTTCAGTTCCCAGGAACCAAGGGTGCCCTCAGTGCTGGGCAAATGCTGACAAAAGACAAGGACCCCCTCAGCAGATGCCGTGGCGATCTCTCGAAAGGGCAGCTCACCCGGGCAGTGTGGGCAGGGGAGGCCAAAGTGGTGAGAAGTCCACGGCCTCAGCCAAAGGCCTGGCGGAACAGCTCCATTTGACAGGCCCTGCGGAACTGCATTAAATCCCCCAGGGCCCTGATCTCCAGTGGGAGCGTGTTCCGCCAGGGCAGAGAAGGCCCTGGCCCTGGCCAAGGCTCAGCAGACATAATTTGAGCCAGGGACTGCCAGCGGATGTCGCTTGGCAGAGCGCAAAGCTCTAAGGGACACACGGGGGAAGAGGTGGTCGCGCAGATATGTCGGTACCAAGCCGCCTAGGGCTTTAAAGGTTTGTACCATAACCTTGAACTGGATCCCATACTCAATTGGCAGCCAGTGCAGTTGGCGTAACACCGAGGGTTGCCAGGTCCCTGACCTGCTTTTAGCAGGGGGAGAAGCTCTATCTGGTGATGGACGGATGGACGGACTCTGCCCCAGAAACTGTGGACAGGGCACTGGGGGCTAAAACAGAGCTGGCTGATGTTAAATCCAACAGGGATGGAGGTCCTGTACCTGGGCCGTGGGGGTGGGTGGGTTTGGGCCTGGCTCTCCTCCTTTTCCCATGGTCAGGGATAGAGGGTGGCGCTAGGCGAGAGACTCCGCGGCACCTGCTAGAACATGGTGTGCCGCAGGGGGCGGTCCTCCCGCTGATGTTGTCGATGCGCCCCCCCGCCCAGCTTGTCTAATAACCCGACCTGGCAGGGTTCCAGTGTTAAAGAGTGTAGCGCCCTTAGAAACAGTGTAGCGCCCCTTTGCTGCTTCCAGTTGTTGCCAGACTAATGTTCAGAAAAGGCACTCAACCAGATTAAATCCCACAAATAATCTTCCTAGGAGATGAAGACCAGATGACACCTTTGCCCCTGTCTTCTCTCATCCCTCCAAAGGAGCAGCTTGACAAATACTATCGATACACCGGCTCTCTGACGACCCCTGGCTGCAATGAGGATGTCATCTGGACCTTATTTGAGGAGCCCATTAAACTTGGCTTGGCACAGGTGGGTCAAACCACAAGGGCCACAGCTCCTTAGGGCGGGGCCAGCCTGTAGCTGCTCCTGCCTGGCCCTCAGGTTCCCTTTTCTTTTATATCAGCAGCTTTCACGCAAATCAATAGCGCCACCTGCTGGTGGTCAGCAACCTCATGGCGCAGTTCAGTGCAGTTTAGCGCTGTCCAATTAACTCCAAACAGAGAATTCCTTGTGGGGAAATCACTGCATCACTTAAAAATTATGAAATGAGGGTGGCCTTGCATTGCATGGTGTCTCAACCCTGGGCTAGTGACCCGGGCAGAGGGAAATCATCCTAGGCAGGAGAAGATGTAGAAAGAGAAATTCTTTAGCCTTGAAGATTGGGATTTAAGGGGGGGGACGACACAGACGGAACAGAACGACTCTTCTCCACCCCTCCCCCAACAGATCCAGTGGTTCCCAGGAAATAATTCTCTGATTGGCTGATGATTTGCAGGTACAAGAATTCTGGATGAAGCTCTACTTTAACCAGACCGCCAGCTTGCCAATGGAGGATAACTTTCGGCCGGCTCAGCCCCTGGGTGACCGAACGGTCTACAAGTCAGACTCAATTGCCCTCGTATCTCCAGCAAAGACGTTGCTGCTGCTCCCGGCAGCCACCTACCTCTTGCTTTCTTGTACGCAATGAAGAAGTCGATTTCCCCAAGGCACCAGTCTTGAAAATAGATGGCAGGACGCCTGCCCATACACTTACAGACACGCTTGAGAATGGAAGTCTTCTCTAGCCAGCCTATAAACTCACAGCTAAGGTGTAGATCAAGGGTAGGCTGGGGAGACTCGAGTGTCGTATGCTCTAAATTTAACTGGGTAGTAGAGCTGTAGCCATCTGCACAGCCAGGTGTCAGAAACACGGCAAAGGGGGGGGGGCGCGGAATGGGGTCTAAACCAAATCCCTAAAACACAGATTTGCATCTGTGTAATTGTATAAGTAATTGTAGTCCACAGCCTGGCCTGAGATTGGTTTGCAAAGTGCACCTTTCTCTGGGTTACTATTCTTTCTTTGCACCAAGGCGATGTAAGAACAGCGACCCACATTGGTCTTTTTAATTTAAAAAAAATGGAAACGTAGTCTCTTTATGCTTGAAATGCTGGGTCCTGCTGCCTTTAGAACTACCCTCGCTGGCACGATGTGTCCGTTTTCTACGCACGGCCACGCTCGTGACAAACGCAAGGGGGCTTCCCCACACCTTTAACGGCGGAGAAATTATTTTCTTACTTGGCTCTAATCTAATAGCAAAAGGCTTTCTTTCAAAAAAAGGGAACTAAAGAGAAAACGAATCAATTCCGAAAGAAACGAAATGAATATTTATATATTCAAGATGGATTCACAAGACTGTATCTGTATTTTTATATTAATTAAAAGCTTCGGTGGGGAGGTGTTTTGTTTTTGGTCCAGGGAGCAAAAAATAAACGAGTAAATGAAAGAATGCCACTGAATCCTGGTTTCTTTCACTCTGCATTCCTATTTGCCGATACTTGGTGCACAATAACAGCCCAGCTGGATTCAGGTGGGTCGCCATGCCAGTCTGAAGCAAGAGAACAAAGCCGGGATCCGGAGGCGCCTTGAAGAGCAAGAAGTGTGCATCCAAATCCACTTAGAGTGGCAGGTGAGGTTCAGACTTCTAGCCGGAGAGTGAACAGCAAATTAACATGCAACATGATGATGTTCAAGATATGCAAAGTGAAGACTAAATAATAATTTAATTTTGTTCAACGAAATAACAAGTTATGGTTACGAGGTCAACAGTTGTAAAGCGATAAATATGTCAAAATAGCAGATGTCCAAAGGTGTCGGGCTCTTTTTGTAGCAGGAGCTCCTTTGCATATTAGGCCACCCCCCCCTAATGTAGCCAATCATCCAAGAGCTTAGAGTAGCCCCTGTAAAAAGAGCTCTGTAAGCTCTTGGAGGATTGGCTACATTAGGGGGGGGGTGGCCTAATATGCAAAGGAGTTCCTGCTACAAAAAGAGCCCTAATTGTGGGAAGTAACTGAGAATCTAAATTCTCTCTTCTCGGGCGCGGAGGGCACTTAACAGCATTTTTCGAGGGGGATGCATTTGAAAAAGTGTGCTTTGCACACGAAAGCTCATAGCTTGAATAAACCTTTGTTGGTCTTAAAGGTGCCCCCACTGGACTCTACATTTGTTCTACTGCTTCAGACCAACAGGGCTGACCAACTGGATCTAAAATTAAACTTTGTGAGCCCAGCTGGAGAACACCTGCTTGGCATGCAGAAGGTTTCTAAGGTCAATCCCCATTGCTTCCAGTTAACAGATCTCAGGGAGTACAGCTGACGAGAGCCACCGCTTGAGACTCTAGAGAGCAGTTGCCAGTCAGCAGCCCCCTCCCCCCAATGCCTGGTTTGGTATAAAGCAGCTCCTGGTGCCCAAGAGCTACACGAACCAGCCCCTCGTATTTCCAATTCTTGTGCCTTGCTTAAGAATTGATAAGTAGCTGCAGATCTCGAATCCTAGACCACAGACCTCCACCATGCACACGTCCCTGACAAAGAAACATAGCTTTATAAAGACCTCTGCTCCCCTCAATAAACACATACACACACCCAAAAGCAGCAATTCAGCCCCAAAAGGAAATCCCAAACCCTGATGTCCCCAGTTGCCTCTCCAAGGGCTAATGGCACGTAGATGCTGAGCTGGGATCACACGTGCCCTGGTCAGCCATGGAGATTTGGGCGCTGGTGCCCCGGTTGCCATGCTCCAGAGCAGCCACGTAGCCCTTTAACGTTTGGCAAGTGGAAATCGGGTCATGCTTTTTCACACCCCTGTTCTTGTCACCAAGATCACTGCTGGAGTGCACGCACGGGCACACACATGTTATTATGCATTACAATGCAAAACTTTCTGGCTGACTGCTGGTTTTATGTATCATTTTCTTTGCATATTTAAAAGGCCAAAATGTGCTTATTTTTTTTGTTTAAGGATATGGTTTTGAAAAGCACATATGCTTTGCAGTGAATTGCCGACAGTTCAAAGTATGTTTCAGCATCTGCCCTGCATGAAATGGCAAGGTTGTGCAGTGCACTGCACCACTGGTGTGTATGTCTCCATGCAGGGGGCAAGGTCCACCCACCACCAATTGAATATGTTGCTTCCAGAACATGAGGGGAGGGGCCTGAACCCTAAAGAACAGCATCTCTTACCAAGGCTGTTTCCACACAGGCTGTTAGCTCTGCCTTGTCTTGATCATAATGCAATTCTCCACTGCCTGGGTTTCCCCCTGCCTCACAACACTTTCCCCCAAGCCTAGTTCCCGATGATCTTTCCAGGAAGACGGTCACAACATGGGTGAGAAGGAGCAGAGTTTTAGACCACGCCACCCACATCCAGCACAATCTTCTCTCCATTTTCCCTCATGGTCAATGTTTTTACACCCTACACTAGCTGGCTTTTTGCAGGTAGGTTTGATTTTTAACCAGTCATCAGCCTATCGCTATAGCACCATAATACTATGGCAATATAACACTATAGCAATATATTACCAATTCAATTTTTTTTTAAAAGCAAAAAGTATTTCATTGGGGGTAGGGGAATGGCAGGTACAAGGAGAAATTTAGGAAGAGGGTAGGGAATATCCCCACACACAGAGGTGCTGTTTTCACTGCAAATACTTCAAGCACCACTCCCTTGTGGAAGCAGTCAGGGAACACCTTACAAAGGCAGCTGCCTCCCCTGGGGAAAAACCAAGACACTGGTTGACCTAGGAGAGAGACCAGGCCATAGGGCTTGGCCTTGGGAAATAGAGATGCTCCAGGCACACCCAGTGGCCTCCTCTCAGCGCTCAAATTACCAGCAACCTGCAAAATATAAGGGACAGAGAAGAGGGCTGGTCTCCCCCACAGCTCCTGCAAAGTTTAAAAAGCAAGTATAGCAAGATCAGATAATTCATGGCTCTCTAAGAAGCCGGGAAGCCGGGTTTCCCCATTCAGCCTCTGCATTTGGGTTGCCAGGTTCTCCACGGCCACTGGTGGGGGATAAGCATAAGCATTTATTGTGTTAGCCATAAGCCATAACAAAGTTACGGAACATTCAAATACAGCAGTGAAATAGTATAAAAGATACATTAAAAAGTAAAACCCGGAATCACATACATGAAAGGTTAAAATGGCCTGCGTATTATAAGAATCACCGCTATGGTGCCACCCTGCCTCTAATCTTTTTGGCCCCAAGGGCAAAAGAGGGAGATGCTACAGGATACAAACTCGTCGGTATCTGATAACAAAAATGCTATCTTCTCATTTTCAGAATACGCTTTTATGGTAAATAATGGGCAGGCTAAGATACAGTGAGGAAGGTTCTCAATGGCAGCGAGCCCCAAATACATGCACTATGTCCTGTTGGAATTTGAACATATCGACCCTCCCGCAATGCTGCGTACACTGTTTGAAAACGCAAGGCAGTGAAAGACATCCTGAGGGATGAGGGGCGGGGGATGAGGGGGTGGGGTTGCCAGATCCAGGCTGGGAAACTCCTGGAGATTTGGGGGTGGAGCCTGGGGAGGACAGGGACCTCAGTGGGATACAGCGCCACAAAGTCCACCCCCCCCCCAGCATCCATTCTCTCCAGGGGGACTGATCTCTGTCATCTGGAGTCGAGCATCCCTATATTAGCAATGCAAGCAATTACACTGGAGAGGAAGAATGGAGGCTGTGTAGATGCCTCCCACTCCCATGGAATATGACTGCAAAACAAAGACAATAGAGAGCGGGGACCCCCCCCACACACACACACTCTGCTTTGACTTCAAGTACCTTAAAACAGCAATTCCCAGCCTTTTTGGTACGGTACCGCATCTGGGGAGGGTGGTATATAAATCTAATAAAATAAATAAAATAAACAAGCCCAAATTTACTTTACAGAAGTGGGGCCCACTTTGGGTTGCCAAGCTCCAGGTGGTGGCTGGAGATCTCCCGGGATTACAACTGATTCCCAGGCAACAGAGATCAGTTCACCTGGAGAAAATGGCCGCTTTGGCATCACACACTGTTGAAGTCCCTCCCCTCCCCAAACCCCGCCCTCCTCAGGCTCCACCCCCAAAATCCCCAGGAATCTCCCAACCCGGAGCTGGTGACCTAAGACCCACAGGTTAAAAGAGTGCCCTAAAAGGAGTTTGAGCTAGATCATCAGTCTTCAAAGTGATGGGTCATGACCTCAGCAGAAGAGATTGGGTTTATACCCCGCCCTTCACTCAGAGTCTCAGAGGGGTTTACAATCCCTCTTCCTTCCCCTCCCTACAACAGACAACTTGGCTGCGATCACACACACTACGTAATCCACTTTCGATCCATTTTCAGTGCACTTCCCAACTGGATATTACTGTGTGATTCAAAAGTGCACTGAAAGTGGATTGAAAGTGGATTATTTAGTGTGTGAAATCGCAAAGGTAGGAGGGGCTGAGAGAGCTCTTTCGAGGACTGCTCGTGAGAAAACAGCTCTGAAAGAACTTGTGTCTGACCCAAGGTCACACCAGCAGCTGCGAGTGGAGGAGTGGGGAATCAAACCCGGCTCTCCCAGATTAGAGTCTGCGCAGTTAACCACGACACCAGACTGGTTGCACCCCAGCTTCAGGTGTGTATGTAAAGTGCCATCAAGTCACAGCCAACTTCTAGTGACCCTGTAGGGTTTCCAAGGCAAGAGGTGAACAGCGGTTGTTTGCCATGGCCTGCCTTGGCATAGCAACCATGGACTTCCTTGGTGGTCTCCCATCCA